AAGAAAAAATTATGGGATGAATATCGTAATCTAAAACCGGACTTTCAATACGTTAATTATAAGTTCTATTATTTTTTATTTTTAAATTTACTAATTACATACGAATTTTTACGATATAGTATCGTAAAAATTAGTTTTTACATCGTAAGAATTCACATATAGATTACGGTATTTATGCACTGAAAAAAAATTAACTTGAATCAAGAAAAAAAGTCTTGAACCAAGAAAATAATTCTTGAATTACATAAAATTCATTTAAACCAAGAAAAATTTCTTAGTTTAAGAATTTTTAACTCGAATTAAGAAGATAAACACAGTAAAAAATATTGTGTGAAATCACCACAACTACTGTGTTAAGGTAGTTGTCATGGTAAAATATTATCAAAAAATTAGAGAATATACGCGCCGCAAAAGTATATGAGCTTGAAGCTAAGTAATCCATAATTTATACGCAAGATTGTACCCGTGGAGACGCAACCCATACAATTGTTTCTGTCCGAGTCCGTAGATATATACTTTTTCATAAATTGTTGAACTTTAATCCGTTATTTATAAATAATTAGACGGTCAAAAACTTTTTTTTAAACTCACAATAAATACATTAAAAGACTGTCAGTTTTTTGAAAGTTTGTGACCATGGTCTAATGCATTAGTTTTTTTTTTTAACTCCCTAGTAGAAATGAAATCGAGTTTTTGGCTAGTAACTGGCCAGTTAAACTAGATTTGCCAGTTACTGATTAGAATCGAGTGAAAACTTGATTATTTCTACTAGGGTAAAAATCTGGTACAGAACTGCAAAGAGCGTATGGTAATCAACGTTAAATATCCAATTTTTAATTGAATTCATCTCGGATTATAGGTGATCAATCGACTTCAAATTTTAAGAGTAATTGTATCATCATGTCCTTATAGTAAGTATACAAAAATTTAGAATTTTCTGACGGTATGCCTTAACCACGACAGCTACTGCAAATACGGTCCACACCAAATTAGTGTTGAAACTCAACACACAGTCTTATTTTAACAAAATATTTTTAACACAGTCCTTATTTACGCAAATACACAATATTTTTTACTGTGAAGTTCTTTAAAATTATTTACTTGATTCGTTAGTTTTTTTTTTTTTTTCTGTATATCATAATTGTAAGTATAATTTTCCTTCCATGTACACCACAAGCTTTAATAGTTCGTGTACCTATTATACCATGAAGTATGAAGTAAATAGCCACTGTTAGATAAGATTCCACCAATGTAGTCCTAACAACTGCTCTGACCTATCTACTGTTGTCAATTCGTACCGATTAAATTCAAAATTTTCAAAAATAATTTTTTAGAGGTCCTTGCCTAATAAAAAACTCTCCTAGGTCGCTGCTTCCGCAAAGATATCTGAGAAAACAATCGTGGTGCATGCTTCAATGTCGACGGTCACCGCCGGAATGGCAGTCCCAGCACCAGAGGACCACCGGCACCTTCTCCCATCGTCTTCTGTGGAAGTGGGCGTGAAGTAATGTAAAAATTGGGCATCTGGGATTGGTTAACCCGGGGGTTCTCAATTGGTCCACTTGTTAGCAGGCGGTGCCTTTCGGCAAATACGGTATGTGCAGTGGGTTAAGTTGATGCTGCGCAAGGTGATACACCACGCCTCCATCAGGACATTCCAACCCCGTGGGACTTGGTGCACGCTGTTCTAGCTGCCCGTGACACATTCGACAAGCGGCGCCGTAACGGGAAACAACGCGCGGCTAGGGACTTGGAAGAATCCTCACCTCACCTCCTGACCTAAGAGGAAATCACACACTCCACCCTCATCACTAGCACACATCGTTTACGTTAAAGATCGTGACGTTTCTCGGGTATCCATCTAACAACTCTCTGGTGGTAGTGAATTTAAATTTTCCGATCATATCAGACCTCTAGTCGAAATAAAACAAAATGTATTTATGGTTTAAGCTTAAGTGATTTATCAGTTTATTACTTTGTTGATTTTTCGTATTAATAAATTTTTTATTTTAATCTTCATTGTTATTTTTGTTGCCGGCAACATTAACAACATCAATAAATTTAGTGCAAAAATAATGTGATGAGTAAACATCGAAATAATCTAACAATGATTTGCAAAACTCATTTTAAAATCGGAGTGATTATACAACTAATTTTTTTTTAATTTTAAAAAATAATAATTGAGGTGCCGTGATTTAAGACAGAAAAACTTGGCAAGTGTTATCATCTTCGATGAACAGTAAAAAATTTATATTCTGTCTAAAAAATAGTTATCAAGTGAAATAAAGGAAGTTGAAAGAAAAATTATTTTGAAGCAATAGATTAAAAGAAGTGGTTCTACGGCTTCATCACGCGTTCCGACGAGTGGAGCAGTCTCCTGCCCAGCTCCACTATTGTGGGTGCTGGGGGGTCAACATGGTTAGGCTTAGGAGCTGGTGGTGGCGCGGGCGCAACCACTGGAGGTGGCAGTCCTGTGGAGTTAGAAGGACACTGGGGAAGAAAATTGTACGGTGCAAGTGTTGCTCCACCGCCTCCGCCACCGCACCATCATCCACGAGCAGCACCGCTGGTATTTGCGCCCCAAGATATGAGACAAATTCTCAAAGAAGAGCCCGTGCCACGTGCTTGGCCGCAACCTGCTCTTGCTGACAATGCATCGTAAGTTTTGTTGAAAGAAAAAAATTTTTTTAATGATTTATTCGCAGGAAAATTTTTTTTTGTAAAAAGTAGGAATTTATTTTATTGGGTAAAAAAATTTGCCTTTTTTTGAAAATATTTTTCAGATAAAAAAAATGTAAAAAAGTCTTTAATATTAATCAGAGCAGTTTTTTTTTATTTTTTATTCTTGAGTCAGAACCTATCAACCAAAAAAATTAAATCGACACAAATTTTCAATGGAAATTTAATGCTCTTCAAAAAATGTCTGAAAATTTTCGTCAGACAAGACACTTCCGTGAAATCAGGCCTTGAACATTTATTTAGTTACCTGTCTGCGATTTTTTAAGATTTATAAATCTTGAAATTTTGTAACTAATAAACGAATCAATAATAAGGTAAAATTGATAAAATCTTCTGAAGAAAATTTAACACTCTACAAAAAAAGGTATCTTACCATTTTTCAATAAATTGACTCACTTAAAAGTTATTCGAGGTTAATTAAAATAGAATTTGTAGTAATTTAAAATTGTAAAGTTTTATGATAAGTAGATTTAGCATGAAATTCTTCTGACATAAATTGAATTTTATCGAGTATCCAATCTACGATACCCTCTGCAAATCAATACGAATTAAAAACAATTTGTAAATTACAGTACGAATGAAGTAAAATTGCCATAACTTTGATAATTAAACTCAATTATTTCAATGAAAAAGTTTGGAATTTAATGCTCAGAGAAGATATGATTTATTCAACCAATTAAAATTCTTTAGAAGATCGAAATAGTTTTTTAGTAATAAATAAATAAATATTTTCTTAAATTTTATATATTTTATGAAAAAATGTTGATTTTCTAATAACATTAATATTTAGAGGTCGTGAATTAATATTTTCATTTTATATTTTTTTTTCAAAAATTAAAAGAATATTTCATATTAACAATATTCGATAACCAAAAATTGATGATATATTTAAAGGAATATTCTGGTCTAGAACCTTGAATTTGAAGTCATTTTTGAAGTGCTGTAAAAAAAGGCAATCAATATTTTTACTATAGATTTTTTTATATGATATTTATTATTTCAAGAATATAGAAAAAAAAGCAAAAAAAAATAAAAATTCCAAAGGTTATTAGCTGATAAAGTGGAAGGTCTCAAAAAAAAAAAAAAAAAAAAAAACAAATAAAAAAGATTATTAATCTAGAGTAATGCCCACATCGTCCTAACTGAGAAAAAGTGGAAAAAAAAATTTTTTTCACAAAATGGCGACTGCCTGAAAGAAAATTAATTTTTGTACCGCTTCTTTTGAGTTTTCCGAATTTCTAAAAATATTAAATATTGAAATTCGAGGATGAGGTTAGTTCATGTGATTAACTTAAACTTTGAAAATATGAAAAAAAATCGATTTTAACATTTTTGGCTAAAATAATTTTTTTATTTAATTTTTATAATAAAATAAACTTTTTTATTTAAGTATCTCTTAATTAAAATATTTTTAAAAATTTTCGACCTATAACTTATGTTATGTATTTTGAAATAGAATATTTTTCAATATATTTGAAAAAAGTAAATACTTATTATTGTCGCAATTTGGACGATATGTGTCTTTATGTAGTGTAGGATTTGAGCGTACGTATATAGCATATAGACATCTATAGATAATGTTATATACAGAATGACTATGCTGGTGAACAATAAACTGCGGTTTATTGTAGCCTCGCTTAACGGATTTGTACGACGTGCAAACGACGACACAGAGACTACCCTGATAACGGGAAGCCAAAGGTAAACCGAGTAGGTGGTGAATCTCTAATCCAATAGCGGTTCCCTTTAACTAACTCCACCCAAACATTTCTCTCAGTACCTACTGCTCTACTATATACCCGGTAATGCACTATACTCACATTCTCATCCTCTTTCAACCTCGGATACAAACTCTTAACTACTTTAATTGCCATCGAATCAATGTAATTATACTAATTCCGACGACGATTCGTTCTATCTTATTGACTCCGAATTCGTTAATTCAGTCAGTACACTGCAAAGATTAGAGGAAACACCAAAGAGAATAGAAAATGTGGTTATACTGGATAAAAGTATTGTTATTGGAACTATCGGAAACATATACATTAAGAGAAAAGTACATAGTTAGCTGAATTATAACGTCACAAGTATAAAAATATAGTTTTCAGAACTTTTTTTTTAGTTAATTATATGCATTAATTTAAGTTACGATTGATAGATAGTTGTATCATCGACTATATTTTAATGAATATTTTTCTGTTATTGTGTTAAACAAAAAATTATTAAGGACAATGTCTCAGATAGCTTAACTGGAAGAGGCCTTAGTGCGTAACCAAAAGATCCGAGTTCGATTCCCGGTCCGGGTGGTCCGAATTATTTTTTCTGCTTTCTGAGTTAAAGTTGATTAAAATGACTACTAAGCCGAAATTTAAAAAAAGTTTAAGTAACTATCTATTGAGGTTCTATATAATAAGTAATTTTAGGTAAAAAAACTTCAATTAAATAGTTGCTATTTAACTAAATTTCCCCAGTTCAGAGAACTATATTTTTCTCTCAGTGCATAAATGGTGTCAGAAAAATGGAATTAAACGTACACTGAAAGAAAAGTGCTTAGTTAGCTGAATTATAACGTCACAAGTATAAAAATGTAGTTTTCTGAACTTTTTTTTGTAGTTACTCGAACTATGCACTAATTTAAGTAACTAATGATAAATAGTTATATCGACTATATTTTAATAAATATGTTTTTGTTACCGTGTTAAACAAAAAATTATTAGGTGACTAAAAAGTTATTACGGACGGTGTCTCAGATAGCTTATGTGGAAGAGCTCTTGGTGCGTAACCAAAAGATCTGGGTTCGATTTCCGGTCCGGGCTGTCCAAATTAATTTTTCTGCCCTCCGGCCGGAAAGTGGCAACTTTCTGGCCGCTGCGCTAAACAAAGAAAAATAGTATACACACCTTGGCCAGTAAAAAGTAAAGCCTCAGATCACATGTTTGTCAACCTCGGCTTCGCCTCGGCCAACAATTACATGTGATTTGAGAATTTTCTTATTTTACTGGCCTAGGTATGTAATATACTATTTCTGTTTTCTGAATAAAAGTTAATCAAAATGACTATTAAAACGAGATTTGACTATAAATACAGTAGCGCTCAAAAGTATTTTGACAACATTATGCGTTCATTTTTTTCAACTATGTCAAAATACTTTGGAGCCACCATTTTCCTAATATTTTAAAAAATAAACTTTCGTTACGAACAAGGACCACTTTGACACTATTCTGTAGATTATTCAAAAGATGTTAAAAAAATAAATAATTGATTATTGTGTTTCATATTTATTTTTAATTAAACCATTAAATATATTTGTCAAAATACTTTTGAGCGATACTGTAGTTTAAGTACAACTATCTATTTGGGTTCAATATAATAAATAATAATTTTAGGTATAAGAACTGTAATTAAATAGTGGTGATGCTATTTAACTAGATTTTCCTAGTTCAGTTGACCATATTTTTCTCTCAGTGTATTATTACGACAATTCCTCTAATCAGCTAATCTGTCATTAGTTTTAAGTAAACCAATTTTCATCTTATACGACATAAAGATCAACGTACTATACACATTTTCTAAAAAATAGATAAAAATCAAAATTTACAATTATAATAAACATTTATTTTTCATGAGGATGTCTCCTCATGCATAACCTGATATGGTCATACATAACCAGATCAATCTTTATCAGACCAAATTAGGTTATATCAACAAATGTTTTCTACTTTTGCTTGGTAGATCTAAAAATATACCAGATAATACATTTTCGTCATGTTTACACAATTAACTTCTAAACTACCATATTAATTAATTTAAATTCAGCAGCTCTTGCCTCTAAGAACTGTATCAAATGCGTAAGCCCAGTTAAAATCGCTTGATCCTTAGAAAAGTATATACAGTGATGAAGAAGTGATTTTGTAACGAATGTATTATAATGTATAAGAAACTTATTTATTGCATTAGGGTACATATACTTACTACAGTATATTTGTAGAGTTATGAATTAAAATAAGCCTTATCATAGCTGAATAATCGTATAATGTGTACATAGTGTTACGTTAATAGCTGTACTATAACGGTACTGTTGTACAATCATCGACGGTAGTATATGATTTTTTATGAAATTGGACAATGAAACTCGGTGTTTATCGTATCAACCGCAATATCGATAAACCCATAACGCCCAAATAGACCACAAGGGCATGAACACATTTATTAATTGTTTCTATTTTTTTTATAGATCTAAACATTATGTAATATGTGATTCTATATGATTTTAACGGATAAAATCTATACTAATAAATGAAAGGCCGGTTTTTTTGTTCGATAATACTGCGAAAACTACTGAACCGATCGGAATAATACTTATATCATAAGATGCAGCGGGTTTCGTTATTATTTTAATTAGTTACTACTATTATCAAAATCGTAATTCCTAATATAACCTGATGGTTACAGTTACCATCAGTAATAATAATAACTACTATCTAAGCTAGTAAAAAATATTAAAAAAATTAAGAATCTGCGTTAATGTGGATGCATTTCTGAATAAACTAAAAGCAGCTGTAGTGCAGTGTGGTGCACAGAAAATCGGAATTAAATTCGGATTGAATTTATATTTTTATTTGTCTAATACAAGTTTCAACGGCAAATTTTTCAAAAAAAATTTGAAATTTCCAAACAAATCAAAATTTTCAATAAAATTTAAATTAAAAAAAAAAAAATTTTATTTAAAAAAAAAAAAATTTAATCTTCAAAACAATCAAATTTTCAAAGAAAATTGTGAAGGGAATTTAAAATATTTTAATATTTCAAAGAAAAAAATGTACATTAGCTAAAATATGGATGTAAATAAAGGATTAAATTAAGTAAACTTATATTATTTTTTCTTTCAGAATTTTTACGATCTGAGATGGTTACAGTTACCATCTTCGATTGTAACAGTTATAATTTATAATAATTACAATTATTATTTTTGATAGTAATCGTTAGCATTATTAATAGTAACTATTACAATTGTCAATGATATTACCTATTATTTTGTTACTAATTAATTTTATTACCATTTTAAATAGTAGGAGTTACTATTTTTATATAGTAGGTAGTATAATTAATTTTTCTCCGTGTATATGATTTGTTAGTGATTACTTATTTGGAACTTATATTTTTTTGACTTAGAAATAATGAATTTTTATTATAACTAAATTTATTCTATTCGATTATCATTTGTTTAAAATAAATTTTTCAATTCTATTGGTTATGTTTATATACTAGGCAGACTTCTTCACTTATGAGACCTGCAATTTCTTTAACTGAAACTTTCAATGCTAATTACAAATTTTTTTTTTCAAATCAATTATTATTTATTTTTGTAAGAAAGATACGGGAATGTTATAATGATTGCACATTGAAAGTTACAATGAATATTATCTAGAATAATTACATGGATAAAAGATGCATGCCAATTCGATAGAATTTGGAATCTGTGCAAGTTAAAACAATACTTTAATTAAATTTCAAGTCTAGATCTAAAAATGCAATTCTATAAAGCGCCCAGTGGAACGGACGAGTAACAGCTAGTATTTACAACAATTGATATCAAGCACCCGACGCTTATTTTACAATAAAATTGTTATTCAATCAATTATTTTCTACTTTTTAATTTGGTTTTTTATTGAAGCGGATTTTTATTTTTCAAACTCTATATATATTTTTTTAAGGCGATAAATTCTTTAAATTGATAAAAGTGAACAGATTATTTTTTAATATCAATTAAAATACGAAAAATAATTTCATTTAATACCATCGCTAATTTTATTTATTTACAAATATACATATAGTACGATTTGAGGAAATTAAAAATTCGAATAAAAAATATTTTTCGTTTTCAAACGAAATATTCTAATAATTCCGTAAAACGAGGGGAAAAATAGCCGTTTAATAGAGAAATAACCAGTGGATATGCTCTCTCGTCGTGTGATTATAATTATTCTGGACCGCTAAATTGCTTTGCTGTCCCCACACAGCAACTCTACCAACCATCTACCCCCATACACTGCTCACCCGAGAACATTACTAACCATTGCGCCATTTTCCTTTCCCCGTGATTTTTATCACTGTATCGATATTCGATGCCTATGTTTGTTTTTATATAATGGAAGCAAATTTATTGTTCCATTTTCAAACAAAATTTAGTCAAATTTGCTATGTTAGAAGATAATTAATGGGAATGAATAAAGTTTTAGAGAAAAAGTAGATATGTTGAATTACTGTATCTTCTTGAGGCAGTTCCTCTGTAGTATGGTGTGTGGTCAGAGAGCATTTACTATTGTCGGAAGGTTAATGAAAAAAAAAAAATGTTTCAATTATTATATCTCCGACAACAAAATGATTAAGCGCTACTTTTTTTTTATTAATTAATCGAAAAAATATTATTTTCTACTCTGCTAGTTTTTTTTCGAATTCTGTCAAGGAATTTTTTTAATATAACAGAGAATATTTGGAAAGTCTGAGAGTTTTAGATGCTTTGAATGAGAAGTAAGCCTGAGAATCGGGAATTTTGTTATTAAATATCTTGCTTTCTAAACAGTAAAAAATGCTTAAGCTTCGAGATTTATTAGTAAACATTATTCTTAAATCGTAAAAAAAAAAAATTAATTAAATCAATCGAAAAGTAATTTTACGGAAGAACTACTGTAAGCATTTATTTTTAAATTAAATTGAACAAGAAATACCCCTCAAATTTCCTGCAGAAAAAAACGCAAGAAAATTACGTCTTAAACATTTTAAAAAATTATCTAAAATATTGAAATATTTTTGAAAAATAATTGCTTGATTCGTGATGCAAAGCATCTTGGAGTGCTTTACGATCAAAAAATTTTCTTCACCTCATTTCGGCAACTATTTTTATTGTTATACCCTTGTTAGTTAACTGAGTCGAGATCTTTTGCATACTATTGTCAAGATTATTTAATTAATATTAATTCCATACTTTTCAAAAATTTATTTAGTGCAATAGAAACAGAAAAAACATCAAAATAGTTTATAGTACATTAAGATACGAGTTGCTTAAATGAGCGTTTATGACACGGCGTGAAGTTAGCGCACGAGCGAAGCTCGTGCGCTAACACGCCGTGAATGATCGCTCATTTAAGCCACGAATATCTTACACTATTTTGTAGCACCAGTGTCCTAAATTCGTCTTCAGTTTTATTCAAATTTAAATATAAAAATTAATTAAGGAAAATTTTTTTATTACGAATGCAGCGATATATGTGGGCTAGAAATCGGGGTCCAGGGGCGGAGCCCCCCCAGTCCCAAAAAACAAATAAAAAGTTAAAAAAAAGAAACAAATATATATCAAATAATAAATCCAAAGTGATTAGTATGAATTAACAAAAAATAAATTCACACATTGAAACAATCAATATATAAAATTAAATAACATTAAATTTTGCTGTCACTTTATAATTTTTTAATTTTCTTTAAGAAACAAATTTATTCCAAAAAATTATTCATAAAAAATTGCATTAAAGCTATATTCTTCCCCTTTTTTTTTATCTCGTCAGGAACAAAATCATTATAATCATCGTCTAAATCATTATCACTGTCCATATTTATTACGGAGTAAGATTTTTGTTAAATTAATTAACGTTCAGAAAATATTTCACACCAGAATAATGTTTACGACTGAGCGAAATCGTTAATAAAAAACATTTGAGAATCATTAATTGACGTTTTAGCATACTTCAGATTGAATCATAACCGACAAAAAGATGTAATTTTAATTATTAATTATTTATTATTTTCTATTTTTTCGGGGCTTTGAATGTTTTTAAATATATTTTTTAATTTTTTTTTTGCTGTGAAAGTCAAATTTTTAGAGCAGAAATCTATGAATTGATCGTAAATATGAGCCCGTAGCCTAAAAAATTTCTCTCAATTCGTTTCATAATTGTTTATTTAAGTCAACAGTTGAGCGGGTCCTAAATACGAATTTAGGACACGCAGTGCTATAAAAAAATTTTCCCGTCCGTGAAGTATGATACCCGTAAATACTGTAACTTGCCAAAAAATCCATTAATTCAGTCCAATTTGTTTTTTTTTAATTCTTTGAAGGAATTATAGGTCCCCTATTGCGAATGGCTATGTGTCGTTTAATTGCAATTAATAAAATAAAAAAACGTACATTTATCTTATTAGAAGCGCCTAAGCATTATCGTCCTATTACAGCTGTACTATATTTTTTTCACATCTTTAAATTTATTATTACTTCATAACTAAATGAGCATTATGAATGCGATTTTCCAAATTTTTTTTTTGAAAAAAGAATTGTCTTTAAATTTTGAAAAAACAAAAATTTTCATCAGAGGTATGAGAATTCTAATATATATTTGTTGCCAATATACTGACGGAAAAAGCAGCGAGAAGTGATATATTAATGTTATAAAAAATTACCATAATTTTGATAAAGTTCGTCAATATTTAGTTTAATAAAAAAAAAGACAAAAAACTTTAACGACTTTAGGAAAATTTAATTCCAGAATATTAATATCTGAATAAAAGTTGGGTGATAAAAAAAATTCAGTAGAATGATGTATATTTAAAGTGTATATCTGCATGTACATATATGTATATAGACATACGAATGTATAGATAATATATAGACAGGCGGTGTAAGCGGAGGAAAATAATCGGACGTCAAGAGTTATGGGGCGCGAACCAGCGGCCGGTTAATCAGCCACCGATAATTATCGACACGGGCAGTACATCACCACTGTCCCTAGCTTCACTACCCTTCGCTAACATTCCTCTCAGCCGTATGTGGTACCGGCCGCACATATAACACCTACCCCATTCTCGTGCTTTCGAAACCTGGATAGCAGTATAGCTGAATATAATCCTCGATCGCCGTACTATACCACCCAACGACACCCTCTATTTGTGCCCCTCTCTCACAACCATCCTCACCGCCCCCTGCCGTGACAAATGCACCACCGATACCATCATTTATTTCGCAAATGTGCTGCAAAACTGCCGCTATTCATTTTCGAGCTAGTCGATTCAGTTTTCCGCTCGGAAGGTCCGATATCAGGTCGCACGAGCGAACTAAACGCGACGCATTGTGGCTTTGGTTTATTATCATTATGCAAAAGTATACACGATAATGTAATTTCTATCTTCAATCCAACATTTATATACATTATTTTTTTCACATTTATTTACATTATTCCAGTATTAATTATCATTACTTTTATCTTTTTGCTTTTGAATTACCTGCGATTGTTTATACACAATAAATGCATATTTTACAAATAATTACATCAACTGAACTTGTAGTAATTTTTTTATCATTTTGAACAAAAGTAATTTTAAAATCTTTGAATCATAAATCAGGTTTAAAATATTTTAAAATAATTTACTATCATTTAATTTATTGTAAAAAAAACCCAGAAATAGTATTTTTCTTACCTGGGGCAGGAAAATAAGAAATGTCTCATATTACATGTAATTGTTGACCGAGGCGAAGCCGAGGTCGACAAACATGTGATCTGAGGCTTTCTTATTTCCTGCCCGTGGTGAGAATACTATTTTTCTCCTCGACGGAGGCGGAAAGCGGCATTTTCGTTTAGCGCAGCAAGCAGAAAATTGACGCTTTTCGCACGGAGGGGAGAAAAAAATTTTCTTACTACGCTGGTCGAAAGTACGGGGTTTCTGTTGCGATTTCACTGCAGAAAGCCTGACATTTATGCCGTGGTCGAGTCGCGCATGCGCTTTACGACGGGGAGCCGAAAAAATGTATTCATGCACTGACAACGAGACACGAGGCGGCAGAAAGTCCGAAAGTCGGTAGTCGCGCTCACTCTATTACTTATGTTTACAAGCCTAACCTTACTTGTGATTGTTATGAATGTATCTGTCTTGTTATGTGTCAATGATTTGAGGTTGAAACTGAGTTAATTACAGAAAATAAATATTTATTTTAATGAAAATTAAAATAGCAGATATTTAATAAATTTTAGAATTAAAAAAAAA